GTTCCACAAACCGATTCTAATTTCTCTCTCCTCAGTGTCTCATCTATTTTCACAGGAGAAAAATTACACACTGGATCAGGTGCTGACTGAAGCACATTAAGGAAATGTCCTGTTACTCATCGAGCACAATAGCCGTTGCGCAAGCTGTGGAAACCGGGAAGTGCTCATTAATGTCTTGTGGACATTTAGTACAAGATGTTACGCAGCGTATTCATGAGAATGTTTGGAAGGTAATGTTCTCAAGAATTAAAACATTGTTTATGTAGATCAGTTGTGGAGAGTCGAGTATTATCTGCTTAAATCAGCCTGAGTAGCCAGATTAACACTCAAGATAGCATGTATCCAATAAAGAGGTCTTTAATTCATTGGTACCTCATGTCAGTGTATTTTTTTATCTTCTGTATATGAATAATCTTAGATAAACAGATGTGCATGGTTGCATATACATATATAAACTTACATAAAGACACATACAACATTATTTCAACATATGTGTTGTGTATGCATATATAAAGTGTAGTTATAAGTACATAATTCTTTTTAGAGCATAATATAACATTTTTGTGTTGGCGAATAGTGGGTAGTTTACAATGACATTGGTTGGGTGTCATTTTTAGAGACATGACATCTGTTCAAATAAAGTGTTGAAACTTTATCTCAGGCAGATGAGCTGGAGGCTAAATGTGCAACAAAGCTGTATCACTGCATTGCTGGGAGAGTGGGAGGTATTGACCAAGACAGAGTTGAGCTAAGCTTCCTCTTCCTTGCTGCTGCCCGAAGGCGATCCATAGTCAGCCATGTGACACAGCTCATTTTTTTCTGGAAAAAAAAAAAAAAAAAAGTCTGCTGGGTTTCTTTAACTTGACATAACCTCCCTCACTGAGACTGATGTGTCAGTCGCTGTGTGCTAGTGCATGTTGCAGTTGTGATGCGTTCTGCACATCGGATGGCACGGAGCACTTAGGGGACCAATTCAGTGTGTTACACTAAAAGCAAGTTGTTATATGGTCTGAATACTTCCCAAATATATGTGGCAAGCAGTCTGCTTTACTGGTTTTGAGAAGTGCTAAAATAAATTATGGTATTTTCAGACAGTGAAGATATTTCTATTTATCTGCCTTTAAAATTTGATTTTGGGATCATAATTTATACGTACTTAGAATAAACTAACATTATTCTCCTATAGTTACTCTAGTTGCAAATTCAAAATCATTAATATGCAGATAACACATAATTAAGGTAGATTTGGCAGCAGGATGATGCATCGCGTGCACTCAAGCAGCACCAGTGATTAAAACAGATTGCATGATACTAACAATAGTTTTACGTCTACCACTTTTGAATGATTGATTAATTAAAAGTATTTATTGCCTTCTTAATAGTTTTTCTCCCTTTCATAATTCTCTACCCCCCAAAAGGAATAGGGTGAATAGACTTTGCTCAGTTTGATTTACTTCATATTAAAAATCTAATCTAGGTTGAAAGATTAGTCTCTAAGCAGCTAATTATGAAGAAATCAACGCACCTCAAGATAATTTCTGTAATCAGAATCCTGCGGTGATATCAGAAAGAAAGGCTGATGATTTTTCCTGAGGGTGGAAACAGATGTTGTTTGGCTTTTGAGTCACTAAATCAGATGTTGTGACATTCTTGACAGCGTGCAGGGATGCACTATTACTGGTTTTGCTTGGTTCTGACGAATAAACAGGTGATGAACAGTAAAGCATGCATCCAAATGCAGTGCTACATAATTATTCATGACTGAGTTAATGAACGAGAGTGATTGTCAAAGTCATTTTGAATGTTTTAACAGCATTTTTTTCAGAAATACAAATTAAAACAATCACAACTCTGTGAGATTTAGATTCGTTTGCCGATTTTAAGTTTGACAGAAGCAGATAAGTTGAGCAAGTCTGCAGGACTCTGCTAGGAGTGAGTAAACATAAAAGTCACTTTGAGTGAAATTATTTTAAATATTTTTAACAGTTACATGTTGCCACAAGGGTTGGAGTCACTCTACCTAAATATTAACTAAGGTCACGTGGCCACAACCATTGGTTATGATTTAATTGCTAAAAATTACTGCATTTTTTTAAAATGGCAGGAACCGTACTTACTCTATGCGCCCTTTGCTGCTGCTTATTTAAAAACTATTCTGGTTTTCTATATTGCACTTTTTTTACACACATTTTCTTTGAGTGAAATACAATTAACCTCCAGAAAGGCATGATGCAAAAGATGTCAGTTTTACATTCAGTTTACAGCTTGCAGCTGCTGCTAATAATCAAGGTTTGCGCTGATAATTCAACAGTTGCTTTCCTAAAGCGATTCAAACGTAGTCCATTCTGCAAATCCAGCCATGACTTCAAGAGCAAAGAATCTGCACCACACTGCATGCTATTTGTGTCTCCTGTATACTTTTGATACTGAGATCTACCAAACCCCACACAGCCTTGAGAATCCAGCTACAATTCCTGGGTTTTAGCGGTGGTTGCTATGGCAACTGTGCTTTTTATTTTTGGCTCCTTTGAAATACTGTGCAAGATTTAGAGATCCCAAATGTTATGTAAGATGAAGTGCCCTGTTTCAGGCTGGGGTTTCCTGCTGCAGCGAACTTAATTAATTACGGGGGAATAGCACACACTTCAGGTACTCCAGTGTGTACCTAAGAGCTTTGATCACATCTTTCCATTTTATGAATCAGACTGTGTTTCTGTGCAGGAAGCTGTAGGCACAAGTTCTATTGTTCACAGAAGTGCATTGGACATACTCTTCAATTAGAGGTGACTCATATCTTAATGGTTCAGAGATGAAAAGGTAAAGATCTAGACGTTTGCACTGAAAGTTAGAAACATTAACAGCATAAATAAATCTACAGATGGCGGAAGAATTTGTTGAACTATTTAAACCTCCTTTTCATCTTAAACTTTCACAATCTTGTTTAGATAGTTAAAATATTTCTCACCATGCCAAATGGCAGCACATTTTACTTTTTATGCTAAGAAAAACAAACCAAAACCACTTCATTTGGAAGTATTTCATTGAGCTTAGCAAAGTCTGAATGTCTGCAATAGGACACCAAATCCCACAAGTGACGATTAGGATGAGCAATAAGGAAAGAGAGGAGGAAAAATTGTGAAATTAAGGTGACAAAAACATCTAGGCAGATTCAATCTGGCCTGAAAATGTTAATTGGGTGCTGAAGTCCAAATTCAATTGTCAACTCAATGTTGCTTGAAATAATCAAGTGAGAGATCAGTTTATTCTATGTCCTTTTTCATTTGCATAAAATAAACCCTTAAGTAAGGTAAATATGTTTTTCTACTTTTTAAAATTGATAATAAGGTTTGCAGTCTTTAAATTCACAACTACTGGCATCTTCCTGGTGTATCTATATACACACAGATATACTCACACACACATACACCCGTACTTACATCGATAGGAAACAGAAAATTAAAACTTAGCACTGAATCCAGAGAATGTGGCTTACTTTGCTGTGAAAACTGTGGCAATTACAAGACTGTATTAGAAACCTACTCAAACAGAAGATGACATGGCATGAATCTGAGACTTGTTATTTGAAAACCAACACTAAATAAAACAGTTTCCCTGATATCTCCTTTCTTGTTTTGGCTGTCCTTAGTTTCTTAAATATTGTGCAACTTAGGCATCATAAGGTTCACCAAAGAATTTTAAAATGTAAATTTAAGAGGATATACATTTCAAAATCTAATTTTCTAGCTCAATTTCATGGTTAGCTCATACCTTTCTTCAGATGGTATGATTCAGATTCAGTCTGCTTGTCACAATCATTGGTTGCAAATGCAAGTTTACCAGCAAGCAGACAACTTGTGAATGATAGACTTTAGCAACTTATTTAATAACAGCAAACAAACTCACTGTTATTACAGGAATAAAAAGGAAGAGAAGCCTAAGGTAGAACTCAACTCTAATGAGTGGCTCCCAAAAGACAGACGACTGTGACAGAGAGCAAAACAAAGCAGGAGATGGTTGAAATGAGAAAAGATACAAACTAACATGTTTCAGGTGGTGTGATTAGAAGGTCTGAACCAGGTGCTCATGAAGGGAAAGGTGTGAAAAATAAAATAAAAATACTGAAAAAAACATTTTAAAAATGAACAGATAATAATCCCCCATACAGATGATTCTGTGTTCTTTCTTTTCCATCTAATTTCATTTTTAACTCAGTAAGTTCAATTGCTCTGGTCTTAAGAGTTGACTGCTTATGATTTCCTTTTGGTTTTTCACTTTTTCTCATTGATGAATGTTTTACATTTGGGTTAATTCAGCTTCTTTTCCAATTACTTTACCTACAATTCGCATGCGATTACACTGAAATTGAAAAATAAACAATTTAAGCAATCTGTTTGAGACATGAGGTAAGTAAGTATCTTACCTCAGTGTGTCTACAGTGTAGTAGCCTTGCAAATAGACAACAAAGGACAAGGCTCTTTGTGTCTGAGTCACACAGAAAACAATTTAATAATCTCTGATCTATTTTTTACTTGCATTGTTCTTGTGTCTCTTTGTTGCTTGGAATTTATTCAAAATCTCTGACTTTCCAATTTCCTTCCATTACAGCACTCAATAAATCACCTACAGAAAACCTTCCGTGTGAACGTTTCAAATAAAACTTTTCAGAGTTATCACACATTATTGTATTGAGAGAAAAGTTTTCATTGAACTCAACTGTGACTTTAATATAATTCCTTGCCAGTCTACGCCTTGGAAAGTATTATTTATGCTAATAATTTCTAATTTGAAGTCAATATACTCTCGAGTGTTTATAAAGAGGTAAAATGTAATTATTTTAATATGCATGACACTTAACAGATGAGTGTAAAGAATGAAATCAAAATGTTTGAAGCACAGCCAAAAACGAGATCAGATGAAGACATTTAAACTGGACTTATGATTTCCTCCAACTCGGTGATTTTAATGTTTTCCTCTACTTCTTTCTTCTTTGTCTGCATCAGACCAGAAGTTTACATCTTGGTCCCCTCCTCGGAAGGTAAATGAAGGCAGACGTCTCCCCCCTGCCAGGAACATGAAGGGCTTATCGGGCAGTCGTTCCCAGCACCATATCCCTTTACCTCATGGTTTTGACTACGATCCCCACATCCACGATTTCCATGGCCACCATGGCTCCGAGTCCCGCCACCCATCATACCTGCTCAGTCCCACTGAGAGCTGCCCCGTGGACTTCCACCACCGGTACTCGCCCCGAAGCTCCATCCACTCTGACTGCATGATGATGTCCCCTGTCATGATGCCCCCACCTGCCGCATCAGACCACATCTCCAGCAGCACCTTCCCCAGAATGCACTACAGCTCTCAGTATTACGACTCAGCCACCCGGGAAGACTGCGCTGCCATCACGGCCTCCGCCACCTCGCCGACTGTCACTGCTGCGGCAGCCGCTGCTGCTGCCTCCTCCCACCACGCCGGCACCAAAAGCAATCGACTTCCAGCTAACCTGCTAGACCAGTTTGAGAAACAACTGCCACTTCACCGCGATGGCTTCCACACGCTACAGTACCAGCGCACGTCCACAACCACCGAGCAACGCAGCGAGAGTCCCGGCCGCATTAGACACCTCGTTCATTCGGTTCAGAAACTCTTCACCAAGTCCCACTCTTTGGAGGGGTCATCCAAGATGAATGGCACAAAAGGTGATATAGGAGGTGGAGCAGGGTCATATTACCATCATGGCCACCACTCCACCAGACACGGCAGCAAGAGGAGCAAAAGTAAAGAACGTAAGCACCGCTCTGGAGGTTGGTGGAGCTCTGATGACAACTTGGACAGTGACAGCACCTACCGCACACCGAGTGTAATGTCGAGACACCACGGGGAACATGTCAGCCACTGCTACCCAGAATCCATGCACAGCCACCACTTTGGAGAAATGTCGCTCAAGGGCTCCAAGAGTAACAACGATGTCAAGTGCTCAGCCTGTGAAAGCATGGCCATGGCACCTGAGGGAAAATTCATGAAGAGGAGCTCCTGGTCGACACTCACAGTCAGCCAAGCCAAGGAGGCCTATAGGAAGTCATCACTTAATCTGGACAAACCCATGATGCACACCGACCTCAAAACGTCTTCACGAGCATGTCACTACCTTCAGGTAAGTGGGCTTTTTCTTCATAAAATTGCTTTTATAATATAGTCGCCTTCCTAAAATAACATCCTAAGCAATTTTTACCAAAGGTTTTTTCTTCTTTTTGTTACCTAAATAAAATTTTG